AACTTTTATCTGCGATAAACATTAAAACTGGAACACAAAAAAGTATTTTACTAATATTACATTTTGTTCTGACAGTAAATACATTGCAAATACGTAAACTATAGTCTATGATACAAATATAAAATATACTACTGTTTATTATTTACGTGTTAATATTTAAAAAAAAGAATATTTTTATTAATTTATTGTATAATATGCTAACCATTTTTTATACATACTAAAATAAGTAATACAACTGAGGATTTATTTATTTTTGTTCAATCGATGGCCCGCAGTACACAAGCAATTTATTGGAAGACATAATATGAATTAAGGAACTTTAAAAATAACTGATACATTCATTCATGCATTTCTTATTTTTTATGCGTAAAATAGTTTTATACATAAATAATCATTGAATATACTAATTTATGTATTGAAATAAAATGAATTATTAAGATTTTTATATTTTAGTATAATTCAGTACAATATCAAGTATTCGAGTTATATGACGAGTGATATAGCATCGCACGCACAGTCGCACAGATACTTATTGAAATTTTCTTTTTGAAAATGTTGAGTACTTGAATAATTAGAATAGTTATTTTAGTTTTCAAGTAAACAAAATAAATAAATAGGTAATCAATCGTTATCAGCATAAAATGTAAATCAATTATTTGAGACTTAACCAATTTATCATATATACTCTAAAATACATCATAAGCTAAGTATAATTTAAACGAAATAAAAGTTAATCAATTCTATAATTATATACCTATTTATTTATAATTTTTCATTAAAAAAAAAAATGATAATTTGCAATGAATATTTTAGTAATCATAAACAATATTTCACTGATTCATGTAAACACATTAATTAAGGACTCGGAATTGAATGTTCTTATTTATTTAAAATAATACAAATATGCACTTTTTCTTTTTAATCTCAAAATGTATACAAATGAAAATATTTTTGTATTTTATAATTTGTACTGAACAATTGAAAAACACAATACAATAATACGCAACAATAAAATAAATAAATAGAGAAAACTGTCAGAGAAAAACATAGGTACATATTACTATTAATTATAAGATATATTATATATTTTTGAATCAATGATATTAGCCATAAAGAATTTTTTTTTTTTGTTAAATTTTCAAGTTATATTATAAAAATATTATTTTGTGAATAAATTGTAAAATTGAGATATATAATCTTAAAACTACAAAATCACTAAATATGCAAAAATATGCACTTTAAACTTTTCGGTTTTAATTTTTTTGAGTTGTACCGTGAAATTAATTTCAAGCTTAATTAGCAATAAATGTCATAACACAAAAATACATAGGTACAGTGTAACTACTTCAGAGCCTTTTAATCTATGTAATCATTAAATGATAATAATAACAAATAATATMTTAGTCTACAATAACTGTAATATATTTTTTTGACAATCATATTGAAGATATTTTACTATTATGAAAATCCAAGTATTAAAATAACATAATTGTATTAAAATTTTAATTATTATTAATTTTATTTAAGATATTTTGAATTAGGTTTATTTCATTTTAATAGACAATTCATGAAACATATTGTGTTACAATTATATTTCTAACAAAAAAAACAGCTTATTAAATGTAACTTCTATGATACCACTCCTTACAATCTTCAATTATTATTTGTTAATATAGTGTTTTAAACAATGAGCACTTAAGGGTAAGTGATTAGATACAATAGATACTCAGGAAGGGCGTTGTTGCCAATAGAATACATTTGATTATAAATTGAAGCTAATATAAAAATAATTATACGAATCCGTCTTTAGTATGTACAGGAGTACCTATCAGTAGTTATTTAAATTTTGAATACACAGCATTATAAAACATCATAATGCTAGTTTTTTTTTAATTAAATGTTTTATAAGTGACTTGAAACTATTTTATTCTTGATTTTAACATAAGAGAATTATTTAATACTTAAAAAACAATTTTAAACTGATTATTTTAGAATAGTGTGGGGGGGGGGGTTAAAAATCTTGAAAATTATTACATCAGATAAAAATAATTAAAAAATTAAAAATAGTATTTTATTTCAATTTTTTGTGGTAGTTATACAAATATTCTAAGTTATATTATATAGGTAATTATAAAAAATATAAAATTATGCTCTAAAGATGTACAAATAAATTAAATCAAGTCTATAACACTATAACATTTGAGTATTCATATCTATACCTTGTTTAAATGAGTACTTTAGAGTTAAGTTTCCAACAAACATAATTTTATCTAACCCAGTTGTCTCAAACTCGAATTACCAGAGGACTATATATTTATACATATGTATTTTATATTTATTTCTATAAAATTTATAATTTATATAAATATAACAATCTGTGCGTTATAGATACAGCACACACATGATGTATACTGGAGTTAGTCGTAATCACCAATGGTTACAAAATACTATTACACAAATTATTAAAATTATAGTATCGGTATGGTAAATTCCATTTTTTTAACTGTGAAATAAATAATAAAAACGTTTACTTTGTAGGTACATACGTATTTTTTAAATATTTAATTTATCTATTTATCTATTTAATTTATTTATTTTTTGAAATAGTAATAATCATTTGTTAACTTATAACCATCTATACTAATATTTTTATCAAATTATCTGTAACCTATTAAGATTCAATATTTATATTTAATAAATCAATATCGAACAGGTAGCGATTATTTTATCACCTGTATTTATAGAATTTTTAAGCCTGTACTCAGTAATGAGAATAGATGTGAAAATATTAAGCTACATACAGCCAAAAACATACTATTAAACTCTTTTGTTTCAAATTAATATTAAAATACCAAGTAATGTCAGGTAACCATAGTAACCACTTATCAATTGTCACACAAATTAAAACATAAAATTTATGTTAATAATAAACCTACTTATATATATTTATATAAGCTTCAACTAATATCATTGATTTAATAAAATTTAATTTATTTTTGGTACATAGAAAAAACAAACTAATTCAATAGAAAATAAAGATGAGAATTGATGAGAATTTAAGGAAAAAAATTTATCAAAGAAAAGGCTTTCAAATTAACGGAAAGAGCAAAACATTTTTTATCTAAGAGCATTGGTGTTAGGTGTATGACTAACGTAACCATAATGTTTTTCCTTCAAAGTGGGACACCTGTATTTTTTTAATAAGAAAACCATTTAATGTTGTGTAAAATAACAATCTCTTTCAATGAAAAAAAAACATTAATTCTTTACCTATATAAAAAATGATAACATAAAAACGCAGATAATATATTAATCATAATAGACTCCCAACAATCTATGGACCAGTGGCGTGGCGAACTTTATTAAGTTATGAGGCACAGTTATATTGCCAGACCCACCACCCACCCCACCCATCACAAAAAACATTAAATTTTTTTTTTAAGATAAAATATATTTATTCATTTAAATAATAATGTTTTTTTTAACACATCAGATGATCTTTGAGGACACCCACCACCCCTCAAACTGAGGCACGTGCCTCAAATATAGTCCTTCATCACGCCACTGCTATGGACTATGGATTTTAGTGTTTTATAGTACCTATATATAAAATATGTAGGTATATATATATTGTTAACTGTACCTATAGGTACAATATAAATGTATGATTGAGATATATGATCAATAAATACCTACCACAAGTTGAATTTTTTTAAAGCTGGACATTTTTAGGTTCTTTGGAGACAGTGGGACACTTATCTCGAAAGCGGGACGTATGAACATGTTAAGAATTACTTAAAATACGTAATTATATTTCTACATTATAACAAATTTAGAGTATTTTGTACAACATTTGGATAAGTAAGCTAGGGCCCTAAGTTGACTATTTGCTTTACTCCAGATTTTTTTAATTATTCTATTGGAAAGTAATCTAAAATTGTCTTTGAAATAATTCTGATTCTGAATTAGGTATTGGGTATTGTATGGAAGAGTTATTGAAGGTAATAACTAATAAAGATATAAGAATTAATCAGTAATATAAAATAACATTACAAATTAAATTTGATTAAAAAGTGAAATACCATAATAAAATATCAGAAATTTTTAAATTTTAAAGTGATATCATTGATTTTTTTAAGATCAACGTTAATATCCACATCATATTGGTAAATTGAATTCAAAATATTAATTATTTTTAATTGTTACAATTATTTATAGGAATAAAATAGGAATTAGAAATTTGGTCGGTTTTACTTTTTGAATTGGTAGTTCCGATCACCATCAAGAGCCGTTTAAGAATAATTTAGTTGTTTTAATAACATGTAGAAATACACAGAACAAAGATAAATAGTCAATCAATGATTGGAATTTTAGATATTTAAAGAACATCTTATCTGTTAGGTATACACTTAATACTCCTTCAATTCATGATCATTATCAAATTTGAACTACTTAATTAATTCCAAAAATAATTTGGAACCAAAAACAGATCGTTTGAGAATTATAAAATGATAAAAATACCATTAGCCCATAAAAATAATAAATATTATTATCTATAGTTTAATTGGCAAAATCGTTGGTGGATTACATGCATAATAATCGTCGAACATCTAGTTTTATACTTATATGAAATAAAAATAACAAATTTTACGTGTATTTAGTTGGTAGTGATGTAATTAAAATATTAATGTGTTACCGTTCTAGACATCGATCGCAAATATATACTTATTTATAAATTACTTTGTACACATTCTTTGTTCTACTTTTTAGCGGGAAAACACCGCCCTAACAAAGCGTAAAGACATTAGACAAACCTAATGAGTGATGACTAAGGGCTAAAAAAGTTTACTTTGCATTATATTGTGGTAAATTTAAAATATACAATTATATTATTATAACATCAAAGTATTCATAAAGCTCATGTTTTTCATGAATAAAGGATAATATCATACGTAAACGAGTACCTATGAACAAAACGACGTGATTTAGCGCTAACTTACTTGCTCGTGTTTCTTCTTATGTCACCAATGCCAACATTGAAATTTGTGGAAGTCATTTTAAGTTCTTTTTGGGATTTTCAAAGAAATGCGGTAAAAATTTAAGTCAAAAAAACTTTTCGTTAAATAATAATTTACAACTGTGACCGGACGTCGAACTAGCAGGGCAACGAACGGAAATTAACGAATAGTATCAACTGAACGACCATTGGCCATCGCCCATCGGCATAATTCGCCTTCTTTCGTCACCACGTTGATAAAAGTACCATCGGTGAGTAACTTACGGATCAGTGTATTATTTATTATTTTTTAGATATACGGTATATATAATTTTTAAATTATAAACGATGATTAATAGGTAATACTTCCTCAACAAAATTAAATAAAAATAATTATTAACATGTCCAAATTAACAAAAAAAAAAATACTACAACTATTACAATGTCTTTGAAAAATACAAATTCAAATACTTCATATGGCGGCAATCTGTTATTCGCGCAATAGATCGGGATTTCAACGTRAACTGCATTATTTTATAAGTGCTCCAAGAGTCAGGACCGTTCCAATTTCTATGAACATGATTCGTTTCACGAAACGGACATTTTAAAGGTGAATTTTTCAATGCCTTCCCATTGAAGAGCTAATTTTTTAGCGTATTTGGGTTATGTAAGTGGTAAACTAATAAAAAAATCCCAGTACTTTTGTTGATAATTTGGCAAATAAAAAAAGATTTTTAACGCTGCGTTATTTCTATTGCTGAACGTACGAATTTATAATAGTTAGTCAATATTTATACAGATGCGTCGTGATTAAAATGAATGTAATTTATTTTAAATAAATTTCAAAGATAATATTAGGATTGTGCGGCGTTACAGATAGGCCATATTAACACCTCTGTTGAAAACTTATTCTTTTTTCTATGCACGATGTAGGTATAACGTTTT